GCTACGCCACTCGCGCCAGACACGCGCGACAGCTCCGCGCACCGGCACACGCGCGCACCCGGGCCCCGCGCCGCTGTCCGCGGAGTAAACACCAGGTGGGAAAGCTCGTGACGGAGCCGCGCAGGAGACAACCTGCCGACCTCGCGCGCCCCCGCCGGCCCGCGGAGGCAAGAGGGGCGGCCCCTGCCCGGGGCTGTGCCACCTACTGGGACGCCCAGCCTTTAGGTGCCCTCGGGCGCTGCCGCGACCTTGGAAGGAAGACGCGCGCCTGTTTCTCTCTCCCTCTTTCCCCCCTCTACCCACCCCCTTCTGTTTTTTCTTTCCTTTCTTCTTCCCTTTCTTTCTGAACTGCTTTGCTCGTAAGATCGCTCTTCCCCTTTCCTCCTTTCCCAGAAAAAAATCACTCTTTCTCTCCAGATTCTAACCGGTGCCAGCTGCCCTGTCGGCGCCCCTCTGGCATTCCCCCACAGCTGAGGATAATGCTTTGGGAAACGCCAGCTTCTGGTCCAGGCTGCTCTGTGTGACCTTGATAATCAGTTGACTGCTGGACTAATGTCCTCATCTCCCTCAGAGGAAGGTATGGCAACACCCGGAGCTTTCAGGTTTAGAATCAACTGCTCAGGTTCAAATTCCAGCTCCCTCACTTGCTAGCTGGGTGCCTCCTCGCCTCAAGAGCCTCTGAGTACTCATAAATACACTGGGAATAATAATGACCCTAGTTCATAGGGTCCTGCCCACAGTTATGTGTTAATCCAAGGAAGTTCTTGAACAGAGTTGGGCACCTAGAAAGTTCTCCTTAAGTCTTTGTTCCTCATTATTGAGTGTGTGACATGTCCTCTTGGCCCGGTTCCACTGTTCAAGCTGTCCAGAAAATCCCTCACCTGCCCTGTTCTGGAGCAGCTGTATTGCCTCTGCCGTGGATTGCTTGGTCCATACAATATTACTCTCTAGATCATAGTCATCCTTTAGGCTGGGACATTATGGTTTATTTATCTGTTACTTGTTGCCAGTACCCAGGATGGCCTAGGTAAAGACTACCAGTTTTTAAATTCTCAAGGAAGTGGATTCTGTTCCTTGGGGATCATGGACAAGGTGGCATTGGCCTGGGGTGAGTGAGCTTGCCCTGGTCAGAGAGCAAAGAGTTGGGTACATAAGCCTGCCAGGTTTGAGTAATGCAGCCATTTGTGTCCAAAAGGTGACAGGTTTCTGAGGTCATCAACATAGTTCCTGTAACAGCTCTGCTGTGTGACCTTAGACTAGTCATAACACCTCTCTGAGCCTCATTTGCCACTTCTTTAAATGTGTCACAAGGGGAGAACAGGGTTGGGGATAGGAAAGGCAGCATGTCTGTGGGAGGAAACTGGCTTGCATGTGTACCCTACCTGGTCAAACTATCTGGGTGACTTTGACCAAGACACTTCTCCTCTCGGAACTTCAGTAGCCTACTCAGTAAAACAGGAGTCTTTGTAAAAGAAAACTGTACATTAAGCAGATTTTCTTGACATTTGGGGTCAGATAATTTTTGTGTGGGCGGGGGTCATCCCACACAGGATAGATGTCTACCATCCACCAAGATAGAGGTACTCCCTTCCCCACTGTCATATCCAAACATGTCTCCAGCAACATGCCTCTTAGGGGAAGAACAGCTGACAGTTGAGAATCACTGATATAAACCACTTGACACAGAGAACTGGCACATAGTAGGTGTTCACTGAATATGAATCCCTTCTCAGCCCATGACCAAGGAAAATTAGCTTCAGCTTCAGAATTCTCTCCCCCAACCCACATACAGAAATCCCATGCTTCCCCCAAGAATGGGCCAACATTACCAACAAGGCCATCCAAAAGGCCCCATATTTGTGGACAGAGCCACCCCTATCTCTTCTGCATTCTATCACTCCCTCACATTACTCAAGGCTGTTTCAAGGTTTTCCTCATCTGTAAACTAAGGGTAATAACTGCCTACCTCACATAGGATGTGCCAGCATTCCTGAGGTAACACCTAAGAGGTGCCTGGAGCAGATAATAGGTGCTCAGTAAGTGAAGGCCTTTTTTTTCGGCTCTGATTGAGTGCTGACTCCGTTTGTATAAATTTGGTTGCCAGGGATAGAAAAATGGGCTGCTGGTTATTGAACAAGACATCCAGACACAGGCTGGTTCAGCACTCTGGTGACGTCATCAAGGACCAACAAACACCTCGGACACTGTGGTCCTCATCACCATGGTTTTCCACCCAAGGTTTGGGGCCTAAGCATTTGAAAATGGCAGCTTCCTGGCCGCATCACCTGCAAACACAACTGCAGAGCAGAAAAGAAAAAGGACAAAGGGGCTCTCCCATCTGTCTCTTTATCAGAGAGACTTTTCCCAACCATCCATATTAAAGAGCAAAGCAAGAACAGTCACCATCCATCTAGAATGGCCGTGCTCTGTCTCCCGGGATATGCCTGAACAGCTGGGGGTCCTTTCTGTGATCCACAGGGAAGTGTCTGCCACAAGCACCCACTATGTGCTGATCATGGTGGGGCGGGTATAAGGTGCTAGGAACAAGACCAGTATTATCCAGGTGGAGCTGACCTGTCAGCAGGAGCCACAGACCAGGATGAACAAAATGAAGACCAGAGGTTCCTGCCACTCTTCATTCCATGAGTATTTATTAGGGCCCATTATACACCAGACTGAGTTACTACAATGGTTAAATTTCTTTTCTCTTAGGGTTTTCAGACCAAAGCCCCAGTAAGAGGAATAATAACCAACTTAACAACCAATCGATAAATAAATAAATGAGATCCTGTCTGTGTTGGTTGGTGGCACCTCTGGGCCTCTGCCAAGGGGCCCTGCCTACCGGGGTTTCCTGGCTCAGACAAGGAGCTCCACACTGCCGAGATGAGCGGGGACTTCCTTGGTCCCAAGCCTGGCTGCCTCCCAGCTAGCTAATCCTGGGAGTGACTCAATGAGCCAATCATGACTAAGCAATCCCAAGCTGGGGGAGATTTCCTTGTCCTAGCCCTCCTTCAGCCTTGACCTCTGGCCCTTCTCCCCAGCCCCTGAAGACTCTCCAGGGCTGTAGAACATCCATCCCTGTGTGTCCCCAGGCCGGGGCCTCCATGGCACAGGTGAGAGCTGGGAAACTTTCGCCAAAAGAACAGAAAGAAGGAAGGGGGAAAAACATTCAGTTCGTGGAAGGAAAAGAACGATGTTAATGATAGGGTAATTCTCTTCCACAAGGACAATTTTAGAGTTTCTGTGGTCATAGATCTTGCCTATGCTGAGAAATACCATTTCATTTCTGTTGCCTAAGTTTACAGTTGCAGCAAAGAAATTCATACTGCTTGAAGCATTCAGTAGGAGCTCCTTTTTCCCAGAAGAGACCCTCTACCGTTCTCTAGCGTCAGGATTTGAGGGTGCCCTGCCGAAGCTCTGTTAAAATATATGTCTTAATGTTAATTAAGGGAACAAAAAGGGGTGATTTTTTTCCCATCCCAAGTTGATTGAGCCAGGTAAGAAAATAACTTTTGGACTGCCCAGAACTGCCAATCAAATGAATCCTCAATAAGTCAGGTCAGTGCCCCACAATGAGCATCTGGGAAAAGGAGCAAGGTCTCACCACCCTTGGCAATGGACAGACCAGCTGGACAACGAAGTTCAGTGCTGAGTTCATTTCTTCAGATGAAAGCCCAGTTCTCACCCTAATAGTCGGAGTTGGCCATCCCCAACCACCCAAGTCAAGATTTCTCCAAAGGAAGCTTTATTGCTGGAAGCAGAACTCTACAGAGGGCTCTGGTTCAAGGTCTTATTTGAACATAATAGATAACAGATTAAGTCCGGACTCCAGAGCTTTGCCAAATCATCCTGTGCCAGACAGCACTGAAACACAATCCAAAGGAAATAAAGGGGAAGATGCTTAAGACCCTGCTTGGAATCCTGGCTTTGCCTCTGACACGCATCCTTTTTTACCAATCTTTTCCAGTCTTTGGACACCATTATAACTCTTGGGACCAGCTGCCTGGGTTCTAGTCTAGCCCTACCATTTCCTAGTCATGTGGCTCAATTGCTCTGGGTTTTGATGTATCTATCTATAAAATGAGACTTCTTAGGTCACAGGGTTATTGGATGGACTAGAATAATAATACATCCAAAGCACTTTGAATGCTGCCCTGCACTCAGTTGACTGTTAACTATGGTAACTGTGTAGGGAGGGAGCTCCCTACATAGAGACCACAGTGTCTGAAGGTGTGGATGCCATGAGGAAGGACAGGGCTGACTAGCTGAAAACAGAAAGAACTTCGATCTTTGATGTCACCAATCCAT